TGGTTATCCTAAATTGTGAATATAAGTGTCTCTATTGCTTTGATATCTATTTGTGCAATAAAATATTAGGATTGTTTTTAAACTGGAACAGGAATTTTAGCATTAGGGAGTGTGTGCTAAAGGATTTTCCTTAGCAAGCATCCTCCCAAGTGCATGAATGAGCAACTGCTCGGAGGCTTGGTTCAGCCCCATAGTAAACTGAGACATGCCACAAGCACCTTCTCACTTTGGAAGTTGCAGTGAAGAGATTTATACCTGCAACTCCAAAATCCAGAGCACTTCAATTTTGCCCAGTGTGCTCAGTAATAGATGGCACCTGTTCTCCTTACCTGAAGATGATGGACTATCAAATGGGAAGATGCAATGGTAGAGGAACCTTAGAAAGAAAGGAGCAATTTGCCTTGGAGTGTGTTGAAATTCCCCAGATCAGTGTCCACAGACATGTCAATCAGAGTCCCCGAGCGAATAGCACCTGATCATGCATTCATGGCTTCGTTCTGCCTGGAAGGTCTTCCCCGCCTTCTCAGCCTAGGGTAATTCTGCCCTATCTTCAAAACCCAATTCTAATCCCTTCTTTCTATGCACCCCTCCAAAGCCTTCTGCCCTGCCCCTCTCTACTCCCAGAAGGCAGAATCAGAATTAATTTTTCGACTCTACAAGCATCCAAGGCACTTTTTTAATAGTACTAATACAGAAAGAATCATAATGCATTGTGACAGGTGGCTTGCCAGTTTATTTTTCCTCATCCTTTCAGCAGGAAAGGGACAAGGAGAAACATAGCATGGCACTAATATTTATTCAGTCCCTACTGTTCATCAGGCAGTATTTATAATAGATGCTATCCCTTATATTACCTTATGTTCTTGTCAAACCATCCTGAATATATGCAGTATTATCTTCACCTTATAATGGAGGATATGGACTTCCAGAAAAATTATAAAATTGTATCATAGTCGTATAGCTATTGCCAGAGAATGGATTGTGTCATCCAAAAATTCATATGTTGAATTCCTGAACCCAATGTGATGCCATTTGGAAATGTTCAGGAGATTTAGATGGAATAATGAGGCCCTTATGATGAGATTGATACCATATCTCAGATAGAGAAACTAAAACTTTCACTCTCACACTCTTTCTATCTCTCTCTCACTCCATTCTTTCTCTCCCATATGCAGGCACTTCTAGAAAGCAGCCGCCTGCAAGCCAGGAAGAGAGCCCTCACCAGAACCCAACTGTCAGTACCCTGACCACAGACTATAAGCCTCTAAATCCATGAAAACATAAATGTTTGCCATTTAAGTAACCCAGTCCATAGCAGATGAAGACAGTGCTGTAATTCCAGAGTCAGCATTTAAATCCTGACATTCTTATAATACCGTGATGCTGTCAATGTGAGGTGTTCATCATTTGTTGTTAGAGGAATGACTAGAATATGGTAGACAGATTGAACAAAGATGCTAAATTGTAAACAAATGAATGATTATAGATAGATATGAAGGTATATATTTAAGCTATATTTTCACAATTCACACATGCAGCAGTTTACAGATTTTTAGTTTGTGAAAAAGCTATCTGATTACTATGTAGCAAATATGTGAAACTTTCTAAATAGCAGGGAATTCACTTGTGTGATTTGGACAGTGGATAAAATATCACAGGCATTTGTGGAGCTATTTTTCTTAAGATGGTTTTTTTCCTTGGGAACCAGTTGTGAATGCTGGGAAGGTATGTTAATGTTTTGAGGTCACTACTGTCATTACAGAAATCCTGCTTTGAGAGTATAAACACAGGAAGGATGGATTTTACAGTGAGAATTAGGCTCAATTTACAATCAATTTTAAAGCAATGACTTGTTAGATTTACTAAAAGGATTTTTTTAAAGAATCTTATTCAAAGCAGAAATTGAATCTTACTGAGGCAACTCTCAGAAAATATAATGTACATATGTATTAAGTCCAAGTGTTTAATGTGAGAGTAATGATAAATGAGTTTCTTCATCTTAAAATTTTAAATTTCCATATAAAAGCACAAATTAGGGATATCAAAAAGCTTCTTACTGTACTTCACATGATTAACATGGTTGCAAATCTAATAACTATCATCTTCCCACAAACAATTCCAGGATACAGGGAAAAGCAGAAGTGCCTCGTATCATGTGAAAATTGGAAGGGTGCAGCGTAGAGAAGAGACTGCCTATGTTCCATTTAGTTTTACATCTGCTGATTCTACTTCTGCAGTTGTAAATGTTGCAAGTGAGGTGAGAGGCTCTCCATCCTCAGTCTCATGAAATTCCGCCCCATCTTCAAAGCTCAACTCAAACAGCTCCATTCTTTCTTGAGACCATCCCACATCCTCTCTGCCAAGTTCTGCAACTCTACTGCCCATGGAGAAGAATCAGCATTAATTTCCCCCTTCTCTGAGCATCCACAGCTCATTGTCCATATTGCTAATATAGGATGACTCTGAGTGAATTGTAAGTGGCATACTGGTGGCATTGATTTCTCCTTGCCTCACCCTTTCATCATTTATCTGTGCTGGGAAGGGCTAAGAAGGTCCTAGGAACAGACGCATCATGAACCCAATCCCAGTTAGATGTCTGTAACCCCAGACATAGCATGAGAATGCTTCTCAGCCAGCTTTCCCATACTGTAAAGGCACAGAGTCGATGTTATTTCATATTTTTCAAAGTTAAATAGCCAAAGCTCAGCATTTTAAAGAATATAAATTTGTAGGTGGTTGTCTGGCATAGTAGTTAAGACACCACTTAGAACACCTTTATCCCATATCTAGGGATATGGGAAACCTAGAGTGCCTAGGTTTCAGTCTCAACTCCACTCCTGATTCCAGCTTCCTATAAATGTGCACCCTGGAAGCAACACATGATGGATCAGTGGTTGGGCCACCTGCCAACCTTATGAGTTACCTGGATTCAGTCCCCTGCTCTGGGTCTTGGCCCGGCCCAGCCTTGGCTGTTGTGGACAACTGGGGAGTCAACTAGTGGATGGAAGATCTTTCTCTGTCTCTTTCTCTTTCTATCCCATTCTCTATGAAAACAAAATCAAGAAAATAAATTTGAATGTTAGCCCATTCTTGATTATAAAATGCATAACTTTTTCTCCCTTTTTTGGAATGATTATTTACTGTGGTTTATTTTGTAATTACATCAAATGTTTTTAAAACAGTGATTTAGATTATGTAATCATGTAATTATTACATGATTTCAGGTACATAAGCTTAAGAGAACCAAATTTTAAAATCTTCATGATGTTATTTTCTTACTTCATTGACTCTAATAGTTGAAATGCCATCCTCAAAGGACAAACCCTAATAAGAATTTCAGAAGGTCATATGACCTTTCCTGTCAGTTTCAAAACCTGCAAGCTGCTGGTTAGCAGTTCTCAGTTCACACTTGGAGACCAGTGTCATCAGGAAGTCATCAAATGCCTGTGACAATATGCGACAGTAGCAAGAAGAAAATCAGGTCTCATCCAGCCACTGTTCTCTTCATTTAAGCTTCAGTTCCTTTCAGCACTATTCATAGAATTCTAGCTTACAAAAGAATAATTTTTATACCAGCCTCCAAAAATATACCTGGCTCACGTAGACCAGCCATGTGCTTAGTTCCATAAATATATCAATGTATGTGTTCTTAAATCCTGCATTATTAGCCAATACAGTTAAAAGATGTAAATGTAAAGTGAAAGTGATGTGAAAAGCAAAGTAGATAGGAATCTCATAATGGATCTATTACAGGAAACAGCTAGAAGACCAAAGGTAAACATATGCTATAAGACATAGTAATAAGGTAGTTAGGCACTCCTAGAATTAAGTTAAAATAAAATATACAGAGATGAGAGGAAATTAAATGTGAAAGCCTGAAATACTTATTAAGCCGTCACTGGGAATCTAGATGATGATGTCACAACTATGAGAGGAAAGACAAGGCGTGCAAAGTTGGACACAATCCAGTTTGCACTGTAGATTTATGCAGTTAATTTTGTCCCCTGACTGCATTCAGATGAGCATTTCTACTCGACATACACCAAGAAAATTGCTGCATTATAGCTGTGTTAATGGTAATCAGCATGCTAATGAGCACCAGAAGGTCGTTACAGCAAAGAGAGGTTCAAAGATGTATAACCTAGAGGAAACAAGAACGTAATTCTTCAGGGAATGCAAGTGTCTTGTTTGTAGGTCATAGATTATTTGTTTTGGTCACTGCATAGCACAGGGAGTTTAATTTAAGCAGGAAAAAAATGAAGCTTTTTGAATTGTGAGAGCAACCCAGCTTAATTAAGAAAAGTAACACTGGATAGCTTTGAATTTGTGGTTTAAAAAAAAAAAAAAAAACAGTTCTTCAGCAGACCCAGGCTGGTACTAAATAGTGCTGTCCAAAGCAGAATTCTATCTATGGCTATGCAAACTGATTTTTGTGTGTTTATTTTTTGAGTCAGAGGTGCTTTGTGGCAAGGACAGGGTCAAAATATCAGAGATGAAAAGAGCAACGTTCAGAAATTAAGTCACAGTACATATAAACAATTTTACAGTCACAGTCTTCTAAAGAGAATTAGGAGGTAATTCATTGTTTACTTCTGATGCGAATTTTGGCTTCAAAAGGTTAAGTATTTATTGAAACTGACAAAGAAGGGTCTTCAATCAGAAACACTGCTGCTACTGCTTATTATGAAGCTCAGGGTCAGAAATCCTTGGCAGAATTTGGGTTAAGCTGAGTAGTTCTACTATTATTATACCCCCCAGGAACTTCTTTCCCTCCAAAGATTTGGGGTACAGTATTACCTCATCAATTACTGTATCATATTCACAGAACCAAAATCATAATATCATCTGCTTAAATCATTACAGAGCTTCTGTGCTTTTATTTAGTAATGACTTTAAAATACACTGTTTCACTAATATGCTCTTTGCATAGGTTTGTAACCAAAGAACGGTACCTTAAAAATGAACAATGGTGATTATTTTACATATTCCTTCTCTTCTAGCATCTGGAATTTGTATTTCAAATGAATGTTTTGCCCTCAATGCCCCCAAATGGACAATGTCTCCAGACATATAGTTAGATGACAGGTGAGTATGTACACACATATGTATTTTACTGATAATACGATAATGACATCTTATAATTGCCAACCTAACATCTCTCTAGAGTAGAAGTCCACTATTTTTTTTTAATAGTTACCAGCTTCCTCAGATAAATACCTGATGTCAGGAACTTTCTTTGTTCTCAAGGCTAAACACCAGAGGGCCTAGTCCTAAAGCTTCCCGAGTGCAAAAAAAAAAAAAAAAAAAAAAAAAAAAAAAAAAAAAAGCTTTGGATTAAACCAAGGTTTTCATTGTTTGGATCTGTACTGGTACCTTTTTCCAGAATCAACGGAACATATACCTTCTCCTAAAATGTGCTGCAGCTTCACAGAACAATTTGGAGATGAATAGATTAGATATCTATTTTGGGGGAAAAAGTAAAACAAAAATAAAAGATGAAAGCTGGAAAGAGAAAGGGAGATAGAAGAAAGAAAAAAGGAAGCAAGGAAAAAGAAAAGGGTGGGAAGGAGCAATCATGGCAGTGCATGAAGTTGGGAAGGAAGCATATTTAATAACTTATCATTTTTACAATATTGTGTTGAGGAAATATTAGAAAACAAAATTTTCTTCCACTCAGAAAAATCTCTTCATAAAGGTAATAGAGACAGGTGAATAAGTCTCTTTTTTTAAGATTTATATATTTATTTGAAAGGCAAAGTTACAGAGAGAGTAAGAGACAGAGAGAAAGATCTTCCACCCACTTATTCACTCCCAAATGACCACAATGGCTGAGCTGGGCCAATCCAAAGCAGGGGCCAGGAGCTTCTTCCCAGTCTCCCATTCAGGTACAGGGGCCCAGGCACTTGGGCTATCCTCCACTGCTTTGCCAGGCCATAACAGAGAGCTGTATTGGAGGAGCAGTAACTGGTTCACGAACTGGTGCCCATATGGGATACTGGCATCGCAGACAGAGGTTTAGCCCATTATGACACAACGTCAGCCCCTAAAGTTAAATAAGTCTTATATGAAAATGTGATGTGCATCAAAAGCAATCCACAAACAGATTGCAATGACTATAAAGAATTCTGCATATATATATATATATATATATATGGCCTACATACTGTCAAGATTAGCAATAACAGTCCTCAAGTAAGAGATCTGGACAACACCATTTGTCACACTGTCCATCCTATCTTTACTTGGTAATTAGGGTGATCACCTGCCATAGCTAAGAAACTTCATCCAGGAGGCAATTTTGCAACTTGGAACAAGGAACTCATCGAAGGTAAGTATTGACCTTCCCATACAAACCGAGCAAAAGAGATTCCAGTTTCCTCTATAATTGCTTTTTAAGAAGATGGCTCCCAGTTTCTCAAGAAAGAAGATCCTAGGCCATAAAGCTGGTAGGAGCCCTATCTAGATTTCAGAAGGATTCATATGCATTTCAAAGGGAAGAGGAAGTAACTCCAATTACATGTTTTCTGAGGGGAAAGGAAGCTCTTCCTAATGTTCAACAAGGAAATTAAGTCCCTTATTTTTTCATTTCATTTGTCCTTAAAATAGGCATCACTGCATTTACCCTGGAAGAACCCCCTGGGATTTGGCTGCTTGTCCTGATAGAAGAGTAAGCTACAGTCTCACCTGAGGGTTAAGAGTTCTCTGAGGATCCCACTCAGTGGCTCTAACACTTGACTTTGCACAGGACCTACAAGGCTATCTATCCTGTTGGCAGGTAGACTCCACATTAGCATCTCAGGGTTGGGGCCAGGACCCTGCATTCCAACCAGCTCCCTGCTGCACTGATGCCCACACTCAGTAACAGGCAAGTGCCACCATTTGGCATCTGACTCTGGTCTCCCTACAGGCATTGGGAGTCCCACTTACCCAATATGTGCCCTGGAATAAATGGGTTTTGCCTCTGTAATTTCAAAGCGTAGGGACCCTGAACATAAACAAATGCTTCACTAAGACAGTTAAGAAGTTGTTTCTCACAGCAGTGCTGGCTTAGAACCTTAAAGTCTATCTGTTTTAGCCTCTAAAGAGAGACCCATGTTGTCCATAAATCCTTTCAGCTCACATTTTCAGGTTGCCTACGCCCCTGTTGGGTAGATCATAATTGTGTATGTGAAGAAGCAATCTATCTCCTTACACTTTTGACCCACTACGTATGCTTAAGTTGTTTGAAACTAGAAAATGAGACAAAATATAAAAAGCTAAATTCTGCATAATCCCTTAGAAGTCATAAAGCAATTCTTGTTGATTCTCTGATTTTATCAATATGACTCTTCATAAATTCATAGCCAGCATTCTTGTCATCACTTATCATAAAACTTAACTTTGTCTCATCTCCTGTAAGTGAAACTCCCCCAGGGTTCCTTGATCTCTAGTCTTCTTTATTTCCTTCATTTATTCTCACCATAGTTTTTAGCACCTACTGTTTAATTGGGTACAAATTAATGACAATTAAAGAATTAGGCCTTATCTCAGAAAAGACTTCCTAGTAAAGACCTCCTAGCACAAACTCTTTTTTTTGTTAATGTGCTACATTAGTAATAAGCATTACAGTATTATAAATAGAAATAAAACAGACATTTTTATATGAGTAGGGATTATGTGGGTGGGTTAAGCACTGTCTCTTTCTTTTTCTGAACAGACACATTGTGAACAGATTATATCTCACACGTCACACTGCACTAAAGGAACCAAGTCAAGATGGAACCATATTTATGAATATGATTCCTTCCTTCCTTCCTTCCTTCCTTCCTTCCTTCCTTCCTCCCTCCCTCCCTCCCTCCCTTCCTCCCT